CAAGCCCCATGTCTGGCTCCATGTGGGGCGTAGAGCCTGCTTAAGATTCTCTCTCCCTCTCCTCTCTCTCTCTCTCTCTCTCCGTCCCTTACCAACTTACGTGTGTGCATGCACTCCCACACTCTCGCACGCGCTCTCTCTAGAAAAACACTCATTCAGGGGCGCCTGGGTGGCTCAGTCGGTTGAGCCCCCGACTTCGGCTCAGGTCATAATCTCACGGTCTGTGAGTTCGAGCCCCGTGTCGGGCTCTGTGCTGACAGCTCGGAGCCTGGAGCCTGCCTCAGATTCTGTGTCTCCCTCTCTCTCTGACCCTCCCCCATTCATGCTCTCTCTCTGTCTCAAAAATAAATAAACATTAAAAAAAAGATTCATTCAGTCATTCATATATTCAACACATGTATACCATATACACTGGTTATGTGTCAGGCAGTGCTAATGCTGCAGATACAGAAGTAAATCATGTAGAAACCCTTCCCCTCAGTGACTCACATTCTCATAGAGAAGGGAGACCAGGGAACACATTTATCGAGTGCTGCTGCATATTGGACTCACTGGCTGCTTTATATGAAAAAGATATATGTAATATAGAAGATATGCAAACAAATAATATAATAGGTAAGGTGGTGCAATGAAAGTATTCATAAAGGTGCTTTGGGACAGAGAAGAGGAAATGACTAATTCTGCCTGGGGAATTGAGGAAGGCTTTACCAAGGAGATGAAATCTGGATAGTGCTTGAAAATGAGCCCGACTGCTGGGCAGAAGAAGGGCTGGGACGGGGAATAGCTTCTGATGCAGGTGCACTTGATTCAAAAGCATTGACGACTTAAAAGGGACTGGTTAGTTTTCCAAAAGGGCACGTAGCTCGCTCTGCCGAATGTTTGGGTGGTTGGGGGTGACATGGGGAGCTGAAGGTGAAAGGTGGTTGGAGAAGGATTGCAAGGGTTGTGAAGCTCTTCAGAAGGCACACGAAGGAGTCTGGCCTGGAGGGGCCATTGCAGTCCAGGACAAGACGGATCAGATCTGTGCCTCCAAAAGACCATTTTGCAACCAGTGACGGGGGACGAGTGGAATAGAGAGGCTGTTCGGGAGGCTTTGCAACAATCCCGGTGAGAGATGATAACTCCGTTCAGGCAGTGCGGTCCTCAAAGATCTTTGAGATCTTTGTTGGTTTGTTTCCAAAGTTTTTTTTTTTTTAAACAAATCAAATAATAGAAACATTTTTCATAAAAATATATCAAACTTAGCTTCCACGGTGTTGTCCATGCACACACACAAATTGGAACATGAAATCTTTTTGTTAAACCTGTAGCCTGTGGGGGCGCCTGGGTGGCTCAGTCGGTTAAGCATCCGACTTCAGCTCAGGTCATGATCTCAGGCTTGGTGGGTTCAAGCCCTGCATTGGGCTCTGTGCTGACAGCTTGGAGCCTGGAGCCTGCTTCACATTCTGTGTCTCCCACTCTCTGACGCTCCCCTGTTCATGCTCTGTCTTTCTCTGTCTCAAAAATAAATAAACATTTAAAAAAATTAAAATAAAAAATAAACCTGTGGCCTGTGACCACAAGGACAGCCCAATTCATTCGGGCCCCACGACAGCGAGAAAGCACGGTGTCTGAGTCTATGAATCGCAAAGCTTGCCCACCGCCCTCACAGTGTTTTCCCTAATGTAGGGTTACAGTCACTATTGCTAATTCATAGAGGCTAGGACAGGCCTGTATATCAGGTTTTATAAATATTTCTTTATGTATATTTCTTTTATAAAATATTTATTAAATAAATTTAATGATTTTAAAATATTTTTGGTAATGGTCGATCATCAAGAACAGACAGAAGGTGCTGCCCTGATCGGGCATTCCCCTCGAGAGCCTGCGGCTGCAGTTGATAACTGTCAGTGGCAATGGGGGCCAGTCGTGCTTCAGAGATAGGTGCCCATCACATTCAGATCTCAGTCTAGAAGTAGATGGACAGTTTTTGGTGACCGACTGGATGTGCCGAAAGAGAGGGAAGGAGGGAGGAATCAAAAAAGATTCTGCAGTTTCTCGGGTGGCATTTGAATGGCGCCATGCACAGGACACGTGGAAGAACGCAGCATCCGCTGAGCTCCCTTTCAGCTCCATGGCAGTTCTGTGAGGAGAGGAGCAGGCCCATTACCTTAGTCAAAACAATGCTCCCCTTCGCACTGCCCTCCACTCCCCAGCCTCACCCAGCTGTGATTTCCAAGTTGTGTTCAGGGCCAGCTGCAAAGGGCCTGTGGTTGCCTTGTTCCTGCCTGTGAAATGAAAATGGGTGGCCGCTGTAAATGCAGACAGCAGTGGGGCGCCTGGGTGGCTCGGTCCGTTATGCGTCCGACCTCGGCTCAGGTTGTGATCGCGCAGTTCTTGAGTTCAGACCCCGCGTCGGGCTCTGTGCTGACAGCTCGGAGCCTGGAGCCCGCTTCGGATTCTGTGTCTCTCTGTCTCTCTGCCCCACTTCCACTCGTGCTCTGTCTCCCTCTCTCTCTCAAAAATAAAATAAATATTAAACAACAACAACAACACTGTGGGGAAGTTGTCTTTCAACTAACATCTTAAAATAAACTAAATGCAGACAGCAAGCGAGCAGGGAAAGCAGGTGATCCCTAGTCAAGGCCTAGGGTACCAGAGATGGACGGCTTCTGATGGCTCTGGCTGCTTCACCGCGACTGTGGGTTTTTTTTTCCTGCTTGGCTGAAGCAAGTATTCATAGTTTTAATAGTTTTCTAAGGCCAGTGGAGGAAATTGGACTTCATATGATGCTCAGCTTCTCGAGTGTGTGACTAATACTTAAAAGACTCATTAAGAGACTTCTTTAGTTTTAATTGCATCTCCTTGTTTGGTATGTGACCCAATTAATTCATTCTTGTTGTGAAGGTATTCGAAGACCCTGTACCCTCTTGACCTCTTCTTATAATTATTACCGTTGCCCTCCTTCGAAGCACCATTTTGATTACATACTTAAAAGGAGCTACTGAAATACCCTCTCATCGCCGTGTGGCTGAAATGCCCACTGCTTGGGCTCAAGGACAGTCATCTGAGAGTGGTTCTTATGTCCTCAACAGCTCAGTGGCCAGCACCTCCCTTTTCACCTTCCCTCCCCCCCACAATTCCACCCCCTTCCCCCCAGAGGGTTTTAGTCGCACCTCCCTGCTTTAATAAGACTAGCTGTTCTCCCTGAGGCCCCAAAAGCTGTGTTTTAGCAAACACAGATAAATCAATAAATGTGCCTTATCAGTGTTGGGATTGCTGGCAGGTGCCTCAGAGCAAACGTGACTGTGATTCCACCTCATCCCCTCCCCCTCCCCCGGACACACACGTGTTTGTTTCTTCTTTTCCTTAGATTCCACTATCTGACAGATCTGCACTCAAACAAAAACCCATCCTGCTGACTCACCCAAATACAGGTGGAAGCCCATACTCGGGAAGCAGTTTTAACCAAATTGCGTGAAATAAAGTCCTTTCTTCTGATGTCTCTCTGTCCAGTGGTCTGAGCATTTTCATCTGCACGGATCTTACAAAAAAGTTCTCTCCGCCATTTAATTCTCACCACTTGGTATCCAGTTCTATAAAGTAATACTTTAAAAAGCAATGCTTTAAAAAGGTTCACGATAATTTACTGAGGTAGTGGACAAGACACCAACTACGTAAATTGTCTTGTTCTTCAGAGTGAGGCCTAAGAAAAGCATTCTCGTTGACTCGTCCCCTTCGCTCTTTACTATTCTGTCGCCTGGCTCCTTTTATTACTGTAGAAATAATGCTTGTACAAACCGTTACAGTTCAGGGAGAAGAAACGTGGATGAAAAAATCAGACGTATTCCTATGGATGATGATGGGAAAGTGAAACCTTTTTTTTTTTTTTTTTTTTTAAGAGGACCAGAGGATGTATTGGTGTCCACACATCTCAGTCATGACTGTGAAGTATGTGCAGATAACCGGCGATCTCACCATTTTTCCTAATAGGATGAGACCTTTGGGGAAACGCTAGTGGTACATTACCGCCTTAGGGAATTTTATGTGGAGTAGTGTCTGAGTCCATTTGGGCTGCTGTAACAAAATCCCTCAGGCAGGCTAGCTTATAATAACGACAGAAAGGTACCGTTCACGCTTCCGCAGTCCAGACGTGTGAAGTCAAGGGCCAGCATGGTCGAGTAAGGGCCCGGACTCCCCACTTCTCGCTGTGTCTTCACAAGGCGAAACAGGCAAGAGAGTTCTCTGGGGTCTCTTTTATAAGAGCACTAATCCCATTCCTGAGGCTCCACCCTCATGACCCAGTCAGCTCCTGATGGTGGTACCTCCCAATACCATCACCTTGGGCTCTAGGATCCCAACATATGAATGGGGGGAGGGCGTGACACAAACATCAGACCACAGCAAATAGTGTGCAGTTGTCATCACTGAGCCTGTGAAACATGAAGTTCCTCATGAAGGACTTTACACAACCTAGAACACAGGGCAGAACTTTTCTTCATAAAGAACAGTGAACGTGTATGTCCTTTCAAGGGATCCAACCATTCGTTTTCACATCAGAATCTGAGATTCTTTACTTACCGTCAGATTCCTACCAATTCAGTAAGAATCGGAGATTGTTTACTTACCGTCTTGTGGCAAGAGCGTACATGTCTGGAGTTCTAGCGTGCAACTCAACTAGTCACTCAGCAAATATTGAGTACCAACTGTATACTGGGCATAGCGCTCAACCATGCTGTCAACCCACTCAGGGTCTGGTTGGCTGACCTTTAATGATAGGGAGGGAAAACACCAGAGAGTTGACTAGAAGTGGCATCATTTGCTACCACAACTTTCAGGAATAGCTTCTTAGAAACAAGAAGTGAGCCTGAAGGCCAGAGGTTAACTGGGACTTCTCTGCAGTTATCAGCCACGTTGTTCAGAAGGAATCCCCTGCTAACGTCCTGCTGGATATTGACTAAAATGCAGCTTGTTCACGATGCCTTGTCTATCCCTCATGATGCTTTGCTCTTTTGGCCCAGAAACAGAAAAGATAGTACTAGAGGCAGGAAACGGATTGCCATCCTGGAAATTCAATGACCAGCTTTTTCCCTGTGATGTGTGTGGGAAAGTGTTTGGCCGACAGCAGACGTTGTCCCGACATCTCTCGCTGCACACAGGTGAGTCAAGGCCTCGCTCCTAGGCCGTCTGCACTCTGGATCACCAGCCTCTCTACTGTCAAGAAGCTGACTTTGTCTAAGACAATTCTCGTTGGAAGTGGTGGAAATGTTTTTATCCTGGCCCTTCAAACCATTTTAGCTGGCATGTTCAAAGAGGCCCCGGAAAGGGTTTTTATTTGTATTGAAAGTAGGCTTGATGAGAAAAGATACACATGTAAGTGTATCCAGGTAAGGTTCCTGAATTCTGAGAAATGCATTGCTCTCACCTGGAGGGTGCAGGCGATGGGGGCTGCACCCGCGTTACTGGTTCCATCTTTTTGTGGGAAACAGTTGCTATCTTTATCTTCATACAATAGTAGAGAAATGTGGTTGGTTCTGCGCATTGCAAAAGGGACGGCAACCAAATTGAGAAAGGATAAAGGAGGAATAAATAGTAACTTAATCAATTTGGCAAGAATAAGTTCCTTCGCCCCCAAAAGGAAGGGCTGTATTTTATCTGTATGGCCGGGTTCCTCCCCTGGCCCCGCCAAGCCCCAGGCCACCGGCAGGACAGATGTGGGGACCATCTACAGTAACAATGATGATGGCTTGCATTTGGTTGGGAAGAACTTTTTTCCTTATTCTCTGCTGTGAAGTGGTAAGACAGGTATTTTTTAAGGGCAAGCCCAGTGAGACAAAGTAAGAAGTAAGGATGGAAAATGAGTTTGCTCTTTGCTTTTTTCCACTATCGTCCATTCCCTTTATCTGCACAGTGAAAGCCAGCCTGCTCCTTCTACTATGATTTGCTTGATTAATCGAATGAATTCAGAATGCCACTCTGGAAAGAGTCCTGAAACATTGTCAGTTTTAGGAGAGGGTTTTCATTAAGAAATTAATTGCAGCTTTTAGTTCTATTTATGTAAAATGAACATCTCCCATCATATTACTTCACATGAGTCATTTTTCTCCCCCTTTAATTTCATGAGTTTTTATTTCTTGGCTGACCCAGGCCTGGAGCTTAGGGAACATGATGGGGCTTCTCTTACACCAGACCCAGGAATGCTGTGCTCCACTCCCCTTTCCCCAGCTAAGCACCCACCCTCGGCTGACGCATGGCAGGTGTGCATGCGCACACACACACACACACACACACACATTCATTTAGCCCCTGCGGGGCTCCCCTTATCAAGAAGAGGGACCTGTGGATGTCTAGGAAAAAGCAGATGGTCCGGCTGCCCTGGGACTTTCTTCTATCTAAGTACTGATACAGCAGTGACCTCCCGGATGAAGACTTTTAGATATTTATAATCCCAAGGTGTTCCCTTTGTCCCCATTTGAAATGAGATCTGAACCTTCCTTGCCATGACAGCTCTAAGTGGTCTCCTGCAGGTGTTGGGTTTTCATTTTTGAGAGCAGTTTGGGGTTTTTTTTCCTGTTTCTTCTCCCCAGAGGAAAGAAAATACAAATGCCACTTGTGCCCCTATGCTGCTAAGTGCCGTGCAAACCTGAACCAGCACCTGACCGTCCATTCGGTGAAGCTGGTGAGTACGGACACTGAGGACATTGTCAGCGCTGTCACCTCTGAAGGCAGTGATGGGAAGAAGCACCCTTATTATTACAGGTGAGCTGTGAGTGGAACTGGCCCAGCCTTCCCCAACTTTCTAGAACACTCCCCACCTGGGTGCTAGGGCATATGTGATGAGGTACCTCTTAGTCATAGTGCTGACCTTCATTTTAATACTTGCTTTGTTTACACTGGACCCACCAGCCACGCTGACTCCTCTCTTGGCTTGGATGCCCCTGGTAGAAGTAATTGAAAGGGAAATGGTCTTGGAGGTAGCTCTCTGGGGTGGAGCTCCAGGGAGTGACAGGGCTCCGGGGATTATTAGCTTCTCGATTTGTGCAGCTGGAAAGCTCCCAACCTTTGTAACTGAGCACCTTGCTACTTCTTGGGAACCGTCCTAAGGAGAAAAAGACCAGGGAAAATAAATCTGAGAACTCTGAGGAAATAGCCTTGAAAGCATTGCATATTTGCCCCTGGTTGTATTGTCTTCAGTGCCTGGAATTTCATGTTTCCCTTTCATATTTGACCATGAATCAATATTTGGTTTGGTTGCAGTGAAATCCCAAGTCTCAGAATTGTGCCCAAGAGGTAGACCATACAGATTGGTAGACACTTGCTTTTGCACAAAATATCTCCATGGACGGTGACTTCTATCAGCAGCTGTCACAGACAGGAATTGCTCCTGCTGGCAGTGTGATCTGATGACCTGCATGTGCCTTCCTTCCTACACGGAAGGTTTCCAGAGCCAGAGAGAGGCTCGCTGGGCATGCGGGGTGCTCTGAATTGATCAGTGTATCCACACCGCTAATATCTTGGCAAGGCTGCACCACATCTCTTTGCCCACAGGAATCAGTAAGGTGATGTGCGGCATCTGGAACCTGTAATTTTTAATTAACTGTATGATTATTCAGCATCATTATAGCATGTATGGGATTGTTACATTATGCTGACACTTAATCCATTTGGCACGGTGACCACTTCAGAGGCATCCCAGAAAGCAGAAGAATTTTCTTTTTTTTTTTTTAATTTTTTTTTGGTAATGTTTATTTTTGAGAGACAGAGAGAGAGAGAGAGAGAGACAGAGCATGAGCAGGGGAAGGGCAGAGAGAGGGAGGGAGACACAGAATCCGAAGCAGGCTCCAGGCTCCGAGCTGTCAGCACAGAGCCCCACGTGGGGCTCAAACCCCTGAACCGTGAGATCGTGACCTGAGCCAAAGACGGATGCTTAACCGACCGAGCCACCCAGGCGCCCCAAGTAGAATAATTTTCTAATGCAAAAAACCTTTTGGTGGGAAGAAAAGCATGTGTCAAAGTCCAGTTTTCTGAGTGTGCCACAAAGTATCACTCTTCTCTCTCCCCTTCTTTTCTTTCGTCCCCTCATACAGCTGTCACGTGTGTGGATTTGAGACCGAGCTCAATGTCCAGTTTGTCAGCCACATGTCACTCCACGTGGACAAGGAGCAATGGATGTTTTCCATCTGCTGCACCGCCTGTGACTTTGTCACCATGGAGGAAGCAGAGATAAAGGCTCACATTGGCACCAAGCACACAGGTGACCAATACTGTCGGTCCTTCTCTCCTCCATCCCCCAACCTGCCAGCATGCATGCCCACCTGGCAGAAGCGTCCTCATCACCCCGCGACACTGACATTCCCTTCCTCAGAAGGGAGGACTTTCCCAGGGTCTCGGAGCCACAGTGCCCAGTGGCCATCCTGACATTGCCTGGCACAGCTTGGGCCTCGCTGATCTGAAAGACCCACACGTTCAGATGCAGTTGTGAGGTGCTGAGCCATTGGCTTGTCCTCACCCTGGGTGTCGTCATCCTAGGTAGCAGCCATCGGGCTCTCGTGATGCTCTTCCCCTTGTGTCTTCACATGCTGGATCTCATTTAAGCCTCGTAGGCCTCTGAGGCCGATGCTGCTGTTCCCGTGCTATAGGGGTGGGGAAACGGAGGCTTCCCGTGCTATAGGGGTGGGGAAACGGAGGCTTCACAGAGGTGAGGCATTCTGTCCAAAGTCAGCAATTAGGATGTGCCTCCAGAAGCTTGGGCCCGAACAGTTTCCATTCTAGTCCATTCTCGTTGCTGTTCTGACAGGTCCGAGCAACCCTTGGCAGAGGTTTGAACCTTTGTGGTTCTCTGTGCCAGGACACTGTGTGCAGGTACTTTAACAGGCTCTGCTCCTGTCCCGTGAAACTCCGGCCCTGACACACACCAGGTCTGCTCAGGGAGGGGGGCGGGGCGGAAAACCGGATTCTCCCCAAACAGCCTGATCGCTCTCCAGGCTGTGTGTGGCCAAGACTTTGCCAGTGTTCTCCTTCCATTTAAGGCTCTTGCCATTCTTAACGATGTTAACATTTTGAATCCACCATACAATTATCCTCTCACAAGTGATGGTTACAAATGACACCAGCGTGGAGTCATTAAATAAGAATGAGGAAGAGCCTCCCCCACCCTGCGTTGTGTGGTGCTTACAGATTACGAGCTGATGTTGCCAACTGCCAACGCTGGGTGTTGGGTCAGCCCCTCACATCGTTGGCCCTTGAAGGATTTGAGAAGGGGAAGTTCCCGACAGTTGTGCTGACGATGTGCTCAGCCGAGACGGATCTCTCTTTGCTTTACCGGCCGCTTTGGTTCCAGGGTGCCAACAGCAATAAAAGCTTGCTTTTATCATAAGTTGAGAAGCTATGACTTGGAGGTCTGCAGAGAGCCATTATGCCGGGTGAGAAGGTGCCATTTCTACCGTTGGTTGTCTCGCTATAACCACATTAGCACCATGGGCAGCAGGTGAGCTGGGAAGCCCATGTCAAAGACAAATTAAATTCAGCATCTCGGGAGTGCCAGTGGAGGGAAAGGCCAAACCCTCTTCCATTTCCGCTGGCTTTTCAGATATTCCCCCCCCCCCCCGTTTCTGTTACTCTCCCATTCTTCTAACCCTCTGCACCCCAAGGATGCCTAAACCCAGTCGAGAACCCTCCTCCTCCCTCCCCAGGCCACAGCCCCTCTGCCATCACCCCACCTCAAGGAAGCCGTAGAAACCATAGAAACCAAAATGGCTGGAAAGCCGTTGGATTTAGAGTCACTTAATTGTCATTGGTGGAAACTTCACATTGACAAGTAACCAATGCAAACACACTCATTGCCACAGGGAACACAGAGATCTTGTTCCCTCTGAGGTGGTAGGGCTCCTTGTCTACCTGCAAAGAACATTCTTGTTTGTTGGCACAGAGAGCCAGAAAGAAATGCATTAAAGAAGTTGCTTTTTTAATACAGTAGAAGCCTGTAACACTGCTGCTATTAGGGAATAAGGTTATAACCTATTTTACAGTTTTGGGGTTTTTTTGGTTTTTTTTTTTTTAGCCAGGGAGACAGTTTTTTTGTTTGGTTTTTTTTTTTTTTAAGGGCCAAATAGTGACTATTTTAGGCTTTCAGGCCATACGGTTTCTGTCGCTACATTCAGCTCTACCATTGGAATCTGAAAGTAGCCGAGACAATACACAATTGAGCAGGCCTGGCAGTGTCCCAATAAAACTTTATTTACAAAAGCGGGAGGCTAGATTTGGCCAAAGGACTATAATTTGCTGACCCTTTTTATAAGCTAATGGTCCCACAGTGAGGGTTTCTTGCATCTAGTTGCTGTTTTGAAGTGTTTGAATTTGACCCAAGATATGTCCATCTAAATCTGCAAATTAATAAACTGTGTAATTACAAAGTTATGATATAGAGCAGTATATATACTTGTAATACATATTATACTATATATTCCTGAGAATAGGAAGCTTATCTAAGTTGCTGCTGTCTCCCAAGCACCTAGACCAGTGCCTGCACAGTGCAAGTGAGGAGTAAACATTCGTCCGGTGAATGAATATGTGTGCCCGAGCACGTCTACACACATTTGTGTGTTCTAAACAAGAAAATTATTCAAACGTGCCCCTTACCGAACCCTGAGAGTCTACTGACTTATGCATATAATCCATGTGGAAGAAGGTACTTGGGATGGAGGAAAACACATTTTGAATTCTAGATTCTGGTTCTACACCCGATGTTACCATAAATAACACTGCAAATGTAGGAACTCATTCAACTTCTCTGGGCCGTCCATTCCTTGACCTTTTGAATGTGCAGGAGATGTCCAGCAGGCATAAGACTCTCATTTTGTGGGCCTTGTCCTCCGATTTGATTTACCTGACATAGAAATGGACACCTTTTATTTCAGTACATTAAGAAATCCTCAATGCTTTCTTGTTACAGAAGTGAAGTGATCTCTGCAAGGGAAAAATATTCCCTCTGGTTGCTTCTGATTTCATCAATGCAAATTTTGCTGCAGTTTTTAAATGTTGCAGTAACAGCACTGAGGAATCTGAATAGCTCTTTGGAAAATACCACCATCAATACTTTACCCTCACACCGACACCAAAATAAATACCAGAAGACTTACACAATCCCCTTAACAAATCAGCCCTAGAAAAGCTTGAAGGAAATAGAATGTTTATCAAACTTCCAGAGTGAGAAGGATTTGTGAAAGCTTAAGTGATACAAAAAATGGCAAAGGAAAAGAATCAAGAGATTTGATGGATAAAAATATCTTCTTCTATTTGCCAAAGAAAAGGAAAAGATGGGAAACAAAACCCAAAAACCAGCCTGAAATGACAGAGGCTATATATTTACTATACAGAGAATTGATATAAACTGGTAAGAAACACTTTAGGTCTCTAAGTGCAGAATTTACAAAGGGCATAAACAGTCCATACATAATAAAAGAAATAAAGGCTAACCACTCCATCTAAGGAACCTCACTAGCCACCAGTTAAAACTCAAGAGTGGCTTATGTTTCATGTATCACGTGAGGAGTGTGTTTTACAGCGTCACCCACGATCGCCAGATGCTGCTGATACTGATGGCCATGACCCTACAGGGTGGGAGAACTTTTCAAAACTACTTAGGTAGTGTAGACCAAGAGGTTTGAAAATGCCTGCAAGTCAGTCATCTTTCTTCTGGGAGTCTGTCCCTAGGAGAAAAAAATCAACCAGTGGAATATTAATTTTCACTTAAAATTTAATTTTAAGGAAATACTTAAGTAATGTAGGATAAGTCTACTCCAAGGATATATAATACTGTCATTTAAAACCATTAACTCATAATTATTTTCATAAATTTTTTGAGAGCCAACTATGTGCCAGGTATATAAAACAGCATGGGAAAATACAAAGTGTTAATTATTGTTGTTAGTATTACTTATAAATATTATGTTATATTTTATAATAATAATAATACATTTTTCTGTAATGCTTGCAATGAGCTAGGCATTGTTCTTAGTGCTTTATATATAAAAACCCATTTAACCCTCACAACACACGTATGAGGCTGCCGATATGATCCCCATTTTTAAGATGAGATCATTGAGGCACTAAGTTAAATACCTTGTCTTAAGTCATTCAGCTTATTAATTGGAACAGGTGGCATTCAAACTCAGGTGTTCTGGATCTAAAGTCTTTATTCTTAACTACTTTGCAATTAACAGCAACGATTTTAAAATAGATACGCTTCTAAAAAAAAAAGAAGTATGTCAAAAATGGTGTTATATTGAGGTGGCAAGACAATTGGCCATTTTTTATGGTCGCAGTTTATCATTTTGTGTCATTTTAGATTATGAAATTGAGGTTTTTAAAAAAATTTATTTAAAATTTTTTTTAACGTTTATTAATTTTTGAGAGACAGAGACAGAGGGTGAGCAGGGGAGGGACAGAGAGAGAGGGAAACACAGAATCCAAAGCAGGCTCCAGGCTCTGAGCTGTTGGCACAGAGCCCACCACGGGGCTAGAACCCACAAACCATGAAATCATGACCTAAGCTGAAATCAGACGATTAACCAACTGAGCCACCCAGGCACCCCTAAAATATCGAGGTTTTTTTAAAGTTCACTTCAGCTGGCTGTCCTCACGTATGAGGTTGCATTGCCTGTGCAGAGAATCATTCACCAAGAATCCTTGTGCTGGGGCACCCAAGTGGCTCAGTTGGTTAAGCATCCAACTCTTGATTTCAGCTCAGGTCATGATCTCATGGTTCATGAGACTTAGCCCCACATCGGGCTCTGCACTAACAGCACAGAGCCTGCTTGGGATTCTTTCTCTCTTCCTCTCTCTGTGCTCTCTCTCTCTCAAAATAAATAAACTTAAAAAAAAAAAAAAAAAGAATCTTTGTGCTGCTGAAAGTAAATGACCCCTTGGATGACAGCAAGCTGTGGACTGAGTTGACAAGGGCACCCCAGCTCACTCCCTACAGACAGAGCAAAGGGAGAGGAGGGCTGAGAGCAGAGGAAGCGGTGTGGGGTAGGGATTACAAGTTGAGCGGGCTTGGCTGTTTCCCCATGCCGAATCGCAGAGTTGCTGTCATGACACCTGTGTATTTACACAGTGATTAATTTAGGCAGCTCTGCCCACTGCCTTAAGCCTGAAGGTACTTAAAGCTGTTGTTAAAGATGGTAATTAAAATCATATGTTTTCATTCTAAAAACTAATTTAAAATAATCACTTGCAATATTCTGTGAATGAGACCCATCTTACAGGATGGATTTGGTGAAGCAATAGACTTAGGGCCCCCACTGAAAATATTCTGTCTACAAAATGTGACTAAACCTAGGTCACATATTAGAGACCACCAATGACGGGGCTGGCTTTCACATACCTTCCTTGTACCAAAGGAGGTCTATACTTTCAAGGCATATTCCATCCCTCCTTGGGGGTCCATGAATGAGGTCACATCATGTCTGTCCAGGAACCAAGTTCAGTTTTGCCAGGAACAAGACTTGGAAACACTGTAGGAGGGTAAATATTTTTTTTCCTTCCTCTTTTTAAAACCTGTTTTTAATTGGACAAGTAATTTACGGCATTCTAGACAATTTTGAAAATAAAATAAAATAAAATAAACATAACACTAATAATTTCACACACTAGCTGTAACCACCATTACAGCTTTGTTTGCTTCTGGACTTCTTGTGCCTATATACGATATATGACTTATTTTTTAATCTTCTAACAAAGAAAGTTCGTTTCTAGAGTTTACAATCACTAGATTACTGAAGCACAGTCTCCCTATATCACCTACCTTAACCTAAAATGATGGGGTTGTTTTGATTATGTTTGGGGAGAACTGACAGCTTAACAATATCAAATCTCCTAAACCGTGAACAGTGTAGAGCCCCCCAATTATTTTGGGGTTTATAATGTACATTGTTAATTTATTACAGTACACGTTTAAGTCCTAAACCATTTCATGGGTAGTGTAAGTCTTACAATAACGTAGTTCTCTGTCCCCTCTCCTAGCCTTTATGCTTTTGCTGTCATACATTTATTTATATATATGTTATAAACTCTCTATTATATTATTTTTAACAAAATTACTTTTATGATCTCTCAAAGAGTTTTATATAAGAAAAACTCACGTGGGTTCCAGCCTCGTGTCGGGCTCTGTGCTGACAGCTCAGAGCCTGGAGCCTGCTTCGGATTCTGTGTCTCCCTCTCTCTCTGCCCCTCCCCTGCTCACCCTCTGTCTCTGTCTCTCAAAAATGAATAAACGTTAAAAAAATTTTAATAAAAACTTTTTTACCCCGATTTCATAATCTAAAATGACACAAAATGGTAAACTGAGACCATTAAAATTACCAATTGTCTTGCTGCCTCAGTACCAATTTACCCTCGTGGGTAGATGCATGCTCTTCATTCTTTTGTGTAGATCCGTTTTTACATTTGGTGTCATTTTCCTTCTGCCTGAAGAATTTCTTTTAACATATTCTGTAATTCTAGTCTGCTGGTGATGAATTCTTTCTGCTTTTGGGGTGGGGAGGAAAGTTTCATTTTTGAAATATTTTTCACAGAGTACAAGATCTCAGATTGACAGGTGTTCCTTTCAGCACTTTAAAGATGGTGCCCCACTACTTCTCACTTGCATTGTTTCCAGTGAAAAATCTGTTGTCATCCTTATTTTTGTTCTCTGCACATAATGTATCCTTCTTCCTCAGGCTGCTGGTAGGATTTTTTCTTTATCACTAGTTGAGCAATGGGATTATGATAGCCCTTGATATAGATTTCATCTTTTTTTTTTTTTTTTTTTTTTTTTTTTTTTTGAGAGAGAGAGGTGCACACGTGAGTGGAAGAGGGGCAGAGAGAATGGGAGAGAGGGAATCCCAAGCAGGCCCCACACCCAGTGTGGAGCCCAACATGAGACAAACCCAACCCAAAACCCTGGGATCATGACCTGAGCCGAAATCAAGAGTCAAGAGTTGGACACTTAACCGACTGAACCACCCCAGTTCCCCAATTTCTTCAGCTTTCTTATGCATAGGGTTCATTTTGCCTCTTGGATCTGTGGGTTTATGGTTTTTCTCAAGTTTGGAAAAGTTTTGGCCTTTTCAAATTTTACTGCCCTTTCCACCCAATCAGGGACTCCAATTAAACTTATATGAAGCTATCTGAAGGCATCCCACAATTCACTGATGTTCTTTTCATTTTTATGATTCTTTTCTCTCTCTGTTTCATTGCAGATAATTTCTATTGCTATTATCTTCAGGGTCCACTAATCTTTTCTTCTGCCATGTCTAAATTGCTGGTAACCCCATCCAGCGTATTTCTCATCTCAGACATTGTAATTTTTGTAAATTTCTCTCTAGAAATTTGATTTGGATCTTTTTTTTTTATATCTTTCAAATCTCTATTTAACTTTTTTAATATTTGGAATGGAATGTAGTTATAATAACTGTTCTTATGTCCTTGTCTGCGCATTTTAACAACTGTGTCAGTTCTAGGTCAGCTTTGACTGATTGATTACCCCATTTTAGGTTGCGTTTTCTTGTTTCTTGGCATGCCTGCTAATCTTTATTTGGATGTCAGATATTGTGATTTGCCTTGTTGGGTACTGGTTATTTTATACTCCTATAAACATTCTTGACCTTTGTTTTAGGGTACAGTTAATTACTTGGAAACTATGATTCCTTTGTGTCTGGCTTTTGTGACTTGTCAGGCAGGTCTGGAGCAGTGGTCAACCTAGGGCTGATTACTACCCATTACTAAGAGATCTTCCTCAGTTTCCCACCGAGTGTCCTGGGAATTATGAGTTTCTCAAATTTAGCTAGTGGAAACAGCACTCACTGTTTTCTAAGCCTTTTTTTCTCTCCAGCCTTGGGTAGTTTTCTCACACAGGTGCTTTGGTCCCTACTCCACTGAATACTCATGGGGGACCCTCTGTAGGTCTTTGAGTTCTTCCTCTGTGCTGCTCTCTCCCCTCTGGGAAACCTCCCCTCTCTAGACCCTGCTCTGTGAAGTCTAGCCATACTGATCTCCCCAGACCCTCAGTGCTGTTTCCTCAATTCAGTGAAACTGATGGGCACTGCAGCCTGGAGACTAAAGTCTCTTAAGGCAGGAAGTAGGCCACCTCTTTTCTTTCCTGTCTCTCAGGGATCACTCTTCAGTGCCTGATGTTCAACGCTGTAAAAACGATTGTTTGAAAACAAAAACAAAAACTCTTGTTTGATATATTTTGTCTGGTTTTGTTCTAGTTGTTTCAGTCGCGATGGTAAATCCAGTCCCTAACACTTCATCTTGAATGGAAGCATTAGTCTCTTGACACTGGGTTTTAATGGCCCACTGACCGGTTCACTCCTGGTCTTGAGGGAGAGTCCAGTGCACTGATAAAGAGCATGGATCCTGGAGTAGGGCCAACTGAAATCTATGCTTTGCCACTTCCTAGCATGTGACTTAGGCCAAGATGCCCTGACTGTGCCTCCCTTCCTTCATCTGTAAAATGGGGATGGTAACCATTGTGCCTCATTGGATTTTTGAGAAGATACAATGAAATCATGCATTCAAAGCATGAGAGAGTTCCCAAGTACCACAGGTGTCATCACCATCGATGACGGAGACCTGAGATCCCAGTCGGTGCACTAGGAGAGCTCTAGAAGCCTCACTTTGTGTTCCCTGAATGATGATGCAGCCATGAAGCCCAATTCCCCCACCCCTAATTGCTGTTATTTCAGGGTTACCATCTCCTAAATAACAGACCTGGCTTTGGGGGTTTTGTTTGTGTTTTCAGGAGAAGACAGGAAGACCCCCAGTGAATCAAATAGCCCCTCTTCATCCTCCCTCTCAGCTCTGAGTGATTCAGCCAACAGCAAAGATGATTCAGACAGCTCCCAGAAAAACAAGAGTGGAAACAACGTGCTGGTCATCTCTGTTGTGCCTGGGAGCCAGCCCTCACTGAATAGTGAGGAAAAGCCAGAGAAAGGTAAGGGAGGAGGTTGCGGGCCTGCGCGGTCCTCCCCAGTCTGGGAGGATGACCCAGCCTTACAAATCAGCCCTTGAGGGGAGTGATGTTGGAAAATAGATGTTCGACCTGTGAGCAGTGTAATGCTGTCGCCTAAAATGTGTATTTCTTTTGGCTTTAGTGGCATCCAAATACAGGGTGGGTAGATGGGCAGTGTGGCATTGATTCTGGAGCTGTACGTTCAACTCCTTTTACCACCAAGATGCTGGGCGCGGTGCCTGAAAGGGGAGGAGGAGAAACAGTGAGATGTCTGTCCCACTCCTGCCCCTCTGCCACGTGCACCCGCACACCCAGCTCCCGTCCTTTCAGGGTTCGAATGCGTTTTTTGCAACTTTGTCTGCAAGACGAAGAACATGTTTGAGCGCCACCTGCAGATACACCTTATCACCCGGATGTTTGAGTGTGACGTGTGCCACAAGTTCATGAAGACACCTGAACAGCTGCTGGAGCATAAGAAATGCCACACTGTCCCCACCGGTGGGCTCAAGTAAGGAAAGCAAGTACAGAACCTTTTACTGTGTTGTTATTTAATACCCTTCCCCATCCCTATCCCAGCCCCTCCCCGAAGGTTTGGGGGGTCATCGAGAGGGAGAGCTTGGCATGGGGCCAGTTAGTCAGCTACCTTTCGCTGGATGTGAATTAGACTTGTTGCTCAGGGGTCCAGCAGACACAGCAGGAGAATCCATTTCACCAATATCCTAGGATTCCTGGCAAGCAAGAGGACCTGGCGGAGGAGCCCAGCATGCAGGGGGAGACTCATCCTACACTGCTTGAGTTTTGTTCAGACTTGATTTCATGGACTTGGGGGTTCGTGTCCCCAGGTGTAAGTCATTACGCTGTCACAGCACTTCACCATTTCTATTTTTTAGATGATTCGCCATATACATCTTTTAAACAAGCATTACGACCACCCCATCTGCACAACACCCCCAGCTATTGGATCCTTGCCTTTTCGAACAGGCAGGAGGCAGTGTTTTTCATGCAGAGATCATGTGCCTCGGGTCTTCCTGCAGACGTGCCTTATGCCTTCCCAGGAACTGGGATTGGGATCTCCCTGGCTAGCCTTCATGAGACCTGACGTTTCCAGTCACACATTATTCACAGGTCCCCAAAGACCTAGACCACAAGCATCATCATTAACCAATATTTGCAAGAAGCCCTCTGGTCTGAAGTGAGACCCATCAGTTATTATCAAACACACGGTGTGTCTGGCTTGATAATAGGTGCTGAAGGGCAAACAAGGAATAAAACGTGATTTCCACCCTCAGGAAATTTATGTCCTACCACTACCAGAATTTAATCTTCCCAGTGATTCCGAAATCAGCCCCTGTTCACAAGGCACTCATGACCTAGTAGAGAAGGAAGCATACGTCGTTGAGTACAGGAAGACACACAAGTTTCTAGGCACAATTATTCATGTTTAGCTGAAATAACCATGTAATTAAAAGAATGAAAACTTATATTTTACTTGACACAAGAAAAAAAAAAAAAAGAACCTCTTGTTTTAACCATTTTTACCTTTGAAACTCACAAATTGCCAGAGAGGTGGCATGACTCTCCTGAATGGGTGAGGGATGGAGAGACCCAAAAGGACCCTGGGGGCCAACCTGGGGGTCGAATGTCGGGAGCAATGCAGGGTTGACTCCTCCAAGCTCCTGCCTGGTCAGAGGCACCCTCCTCAAAAACTTGACGAAACAGAGGAGTCAGGGAGCAGCACCTACTGTCCAATTCCGTTTTGTTTCACTCTTGGGGCACTTAAGTGGGAGGGGGAGGGGATGTTTGCAGGGATGGGGGAGGGGAGATTATAATCCGAGACAGCCAATAAATGGGAAATGCCCAGCAAGCGCTTATTTGGGAATTTGATTTGGTTTGTTCCCACTGTCCCTTTCTAAATACTTGTTTACTCTTATTTAAAGAAAAAAAAAGCCATGTACTTCCGTGGTTGGACTAGCACTCATTGCCCTTCCCAGTAGCCCCGTCACACCCATCAACTCTGCGGCCCCTGCCAGTTGTGGCTTTGTCAGTTAGCCTTTCCTTGGGGACCTACAGAGTCCCGAGCCTCCGACCCATTGGGGAGAATGCACAGTGAATGCTGATGCTTTTGCCAGTACAGACACTTCCGGTGTGGTGCTAACGGTCCCCTGTGTAATAGTTTATGTTCTAGGATGACCAAGTAGAAGAATACTTTGAAAAAATTGATAATGCCTTCTGGCTATACAGTGAGTCTTTGTTTTGTTTTGTTTTGTTTTCCCTTTGCCATATCAGAGAATTAATTTGCCTGAGAGAGTGTCTTTACGATAAATAACGGGAGCACAGAAAACCCTTAGCACTTTGCCTGAGCAGCGAAAGAAAGATTGAGCTGTGGGTCACAGAAATGTCCTTAAAATGAAACAGACTGCCGATGTCTAAGTTGCTTTTCTGTGATGGAACTGCTTGTACTCTATATCCTGTTCATAATGCAGATCAAATAAGATTATACTATTATTTTTCTTTTGCCGTAGCTCAGGACAGTGGTGAGTTTCAGACTCCTCTAGGTAAGGCCCAGCTTGGCGTAGGGGTTGTGTGTGCACCTGACCTGGGAATGGGCTTTATATTTCTCTCGTGTGCACTCTTCTGTGAGCTGAGGTTCAAAGGCTAACGGCGAGCTTGGCGCTGAGGAGCAGTGCACGGTGCACTTGGTTGTGTTGGGCTCTGCTGAACACCTCTCCAAACCCTCAGAGGACAGACCACTCCTGGGCCCTGCCCCGCAGGTGCCAAGCAAGGGCTGAGGCAGCCACTTTTGCATTTGCATTCTTTGTGCAAAGAGAGCAAACACGCTACAGCTATCCTGTCAGCCACCAACTTGAGCCTTGCGGCTTCCAAAAGAGCAGCTCAGCAGAATTTGTAAACATGCCCTCACTGCTCCTCCTAGCCCCTCTGGACAGCCAGGAGGCTTGGGGGTGGCATAGCCTCACTGCCTAGGATGGAGGAACCGAGCCACGGAGAGGCCCAGGCTTGGTCCCAGGGCACATCCAGATATAGCCCAATGAGGTGACGGAGCTGGGACCAGAATCTGCCAGAATTATGTTGTAGAGACCAGTCCAGTAATGAATCAGTGCCTACCGTGTGCTGAGTACTTTACCAGGCACTGCAGAGAACGCAGAAGAAATGTAAGATATGGTCCTGCCCACTGAGAATTCATGATCCAGTTGGATTGCTATTATCTCCATGATGTAATAATCTTCTAATAATGTCTTCAAAGTCCAGAGAGCAGTCGCCTCCCTCCCTCCTTATCCCTCATTAGTGATGGGCTGGTGGGTGGGCCTCCCTCTCCCACGCCCCATCCTGGTCCGCATCTGCCTTCCCCGATGGAGAACCAGGACTGCAGGAGACAGGATTTAGGAGCTCAGACCTATGTATAGACACACACACTCACACAGACAGACACACACAGGCCTTCTCATCCTAACAACCCTCTCAATAAGCACGATTCTGACCCCTATGACTTTCTGTTTGCCGGAGGTAGCTCTCCCCCTATAAGCTGTTCTTCAAAACTCTTAGCCTTTCTGCGTGTGCTTGGTGTGGTGCATGAAAAGTCGATTCTTTGTGTTGCTCCCATCTCGAGGGGAGGTCATGAGGTTTAGACCTCTGCTATGTCTGGTGGGAGGCGGGGAGGGCTCCGAGGGGACGGGCGGGGAGGACGGAGGGGAGCAACCGCTTATTTATTCCTCGCACTTCTTCTGCTCCCCTTCCTGCGGGCTGGTGCTCACCGATCCAGCCAGGAGACCCACAGTAGGCCGAGCGTACCTTGCCAGAGCGGCTCCTTAGTGGGGACGGCTCTGTCGGCAGAGAGAGCCAAGCGGGTCGTCTTAACCCCGGAGAGGCGGCAGGGCTGGGCTGGGCAGGGGCAGGGGCAGGCCAGGCCTCAGAGTTTGGGGGGGGGGGTGCGTGAGGGGAGGCCGGCGAGGAGGGTAAAGGCAGGGCCGCAGCAGAACCTGTCCGGTTGAACCTTCCCCTTTCGTTGCTTCCCCCCCCCCCCCCCCCCCCCCGGCAGGTGCCCATTCTGCATTTATTCCACCAACCGCCCCGCTGCCATGGAGTGCCACCTCAAGACCCACTACAAGATGGAGTACAAGTGCCGGATCTGCCAGACGGTGAAGGCCAACCAGCTGGAGCTGGAGACGCACACCCGGGAGCATCGCCTCGGCAACCACTACAAGTGCGACCAGTGCGGCTACCTGTCCAAGACCGCCAACAAGCTCATCGAGCACGTGCGCGTCCACACCGGGGAGCGGCCCTTCCACTGTGACCAGTGCAGCTACAGCTGCAAGCGCAAGGACAATCTCAACCTGCACAAGAAGCTGAAACACGCCCCACGCCAGACCTTCAGCTGCGAAGAGTGCCTGTTCAAGACCACACACCCCTTCGTCTTCAGCCGCCACGTCAAGAAGCACCAGAGTGGGGACTGCCCCGAGGAGGACAAGAAGGGCCTGTGTCCGGCCCCCAAGGAACCAGCCGGCCCCGGGGCCCCGCTCCTCGTCGTCGGGAGCTCCCGGAATCTCTTGTCTCCCCTGTCGGTCATGTCCGCCTCCCAGGCTCTGCAGACCGTGGCCCTGTCGGCTGCCCACGGCAGCAGCTCAGAGCCCAACCTGGCACTCAAGGCTTTGGCCTTCAACGGCTCCCCTTTGCGCTTTGACAAGTACCGGAACTCGGATTTTGCCCATCTCATTCCCTTGACAATGTTATACCCCAAGAACCACTTGGATCTCACATTCCACCCTCCCCGACCTCAGACTGCGCCTCCCAGCATCCCCTCACCCAAACACTCCTTCCTCGCCTATCTCGGACTAAGAGAAAGAGCAGAGACTGTCTGAGGACAGCCGTGTTCTGTACCAAAAACAAAGAGACAGAGACAAAAACAGAAAACAACACAAAACAAAACAAAAAACCCACAAAACTTAAACACAACCCCAGCAGGTGTATGTTGCTGCAAAACCTACAGACCCGCCCTGGGTCTGAACCACGTGTACTGTATATCTTTAGTAAGGAATAGAGAATTGGCTCTGTGTGTATACCTATTGCATTGACCTGAAAGCTGCTTTATCCAATCTTCAGAGAGGTGACCTACTGCATACTTCTACCTTCAGAGGCATGCCTCCCCAGCCACCCACTCCCACTCTCAGCCCCTTCTCCGTACTTTTATCTGAAAGGAATTTTGTCTTGTTAGACCCTAAAGAGAGTGTCCTTAATAGCAATCAGCACTTGCAAGCTTATGTACTGGTGCATTTTGTTTTCTGTTGGGTGAATGGGGCGTGTGGGTGTTGCGGATTCTGAAAGAGAAAGCCGTGTGTCGTGTGCCATGACATTTCTATTGCACATCTCTTTGTACTGGCTTCTTTCACAGCGATGAACATTCTTTTCCCTCCTGGGTTGTTCATCCATGACAGTCTCTCCCCGAGCTCCTTCGTCACCTTTCCCTCTCTATTTTATGGCTACAGAGTGGTAGGGCCTG